TCTCCTTTTGGAAGCTAAACTTGATGTGTCTTTTGTTTAACACACCGAAGATTTATCAAACCTGCATATACAATTGCTTTATTCCTTTAATTTTATTGTGAGTTACGAAAAACACGTTTTAAATGGGGTAAATATTTTAAGTCGGTGATTTAGTCTGACCCAAGGCTGACTAAAAAATTCGGCCTGCGGAGGTATCATTTTAGTCGAGGTTCGCGTCATTTAGACATAGTGCAAGTCGAAGATCATTTTAAGAATACGAAATGACATAATTTTTAAGTTTTAGCTCAAACTACGACTAAAGTTTGTTTTAAGAGTACCGGGGTGAGAATTGAAACCAATGTCCATGAATAAAAAAAATAACGAAGTATATCTCACATACGTATGTGTAACTGCTGCCAGTTAATACACATTGTGTGTGGAGAATTAAAGTAGGTCTACTTTAGAAACTACAGTATTTAAAGGCAGGCAGATGATCTGACTGTAATTACTCTCTATTGAAACTGAGTTATACTTGTTATGCCCTACATACAGTATATTATATAGAACATATTATTCAACATTAGATAAAACAGGACCAAGAGGAGAACCTATTGATACTCCATCACATTGCTTATAGTAATCATTATTACAAGAAAATACTGTTTTGGTGCAAGTAATTTACGTAAAGTAGTTTTCTTAAGATTGGTGGTTATCAGTTTTTGATTATATATACTCTGTCAAGCACAATATTAATTACCTTAGTTAACGGAACATTTAGTAAAAAGTGATTCTACATCAAATGATACAAAACGATAACCGGCATGATAAAGGTGAGGGGGTATCTCCTTGACGCGATGAGCAGCGTCAAACGACCACCAATCTTAAGGAAACTTGCGGATACCTGCACTAAAACAGTATTTTCTTGTAATAATGAGTACTATAAGCAATGTGATGGAGTATCAATGGGTTCTCCTGTTGGTCCTGTATTATCTAATATTATTATGACCGAACTAGAACAGACCATTATTCCTGATTTAGAACAATTAGGAATTATTAAGTTTTATACTCGGTTCATTGATATTATTCAACATGATTTGATTTTTTAGATTTCAAAGTTATGTGGCACGTTGGTGAAGTAAACAGCACCAAAGACGGCAACTTTGATGTACCTCACAGCGTGGAGTTGGATAACTACAATCGTGTGTGGGTTGCAGACCGTATGAACGGCAGACTGCAAGCCTTTGATGCAGATACGGGCAAGTTTATTGGCAAATGGACAAGTTGTTTCTCTGTTGGGCAACCATACTCTGTCAGGTTAGTTAATTTTAAAGTGAATATATTTTGTGAGACTATATTCATCCCCTATGCCAGTTAAAGATAAAACATCCTTAATATGCCATCCAGCCATTGGCTGCTATCAAGCATTATTACATTACACTCTGACTGTTTTCTTTAAAACTGTGATGAACAATGTATCTTTTATTCCATGATTCATAAATTGTTCAATCTTTTTCAGAATGAGTAAGGATAAAACACATTTCATCGTTGCACTACTTCAGCAGAGTAAAATTCTTTTAGTTGCCACTCCACCAAGTGCAGGACCAATAGGCGACTGCAATGTCTTGGGTTCTATAGATCTACCAGAAAATACCGGACCGCATCTAGTGGGAGTTAGCAAATCAACAGGTGCTTTTTATGTGGCTGAACTTAACACACAGACTTGTCAGAAATTTGTACCTATTGGACTACATAGAATTAATATAGATTAAATATGTTTTTCTCTTGCCATATTATTGTTCCAATTAAAGAGGATATTTTATTTTTGTGATTAAAATAAAAAACAGTGAGGCTAGTCTTAGCCCCGGTGTGTGTCACAATGAAGAGTTATATGGATATGTTTTGTGAAAGAGTATTAAGGTAACTTACAGTACTGTACTACTAATTACAATAACAAAAGAACTATGCATTGAGCAACTGGCATACGAGTCAACAGAAAAGTTGACATGAATAATGATGAGCTAAAAGTGGTAATTGGTGATAAGTGCTCACAAGTGAAGTGTAAAATTATGTTAATTTATGATCAAATTTTTAGAATAGGAATCAACCTGTACACAGTTGCACAGGATATGTGATAGCTCAAGGTGAGCAGAATGGTGTTAGTGCATTGGACACGCCCAAACTGAAACACCTAAGGCTTAGGAAAGTGTGGTAGCTAAATTAAGAGCACCACTAACACCTATGCACTATCAAACAAGAACAGATTTACAAGGACATATGTGAGTACTTTTAATGATTTATAAATGTGAAATTACGTTCCTATAAAGTTCCGTATATATTTATATGTTGAATAGTAATTGTGCAAGTAATGGAATATATGTAGGCCCTACGTGGTATGTGGTATTAATACTTACCTTGAATATGATTAAAGTGGAAATGTTGGACATATATTGGTATTGTTTATGAATTTATATTATTGTAGTACTGAATTCCATTTATTCCTAGTATACGGTAAAGCCTTGAATTGAAGCCCAATGGGCATAATCTCGAGAAGAATCCCATCGAATTTAAGCCCTCTTTTTAGTTTGCAAATTTCAAGATAGCATATGATTATTTTCGAGATGGTACAGTACATGGCGCCAGTTTGGCGCAGCGGTTGAGCTTTGGGCTTTCGCTCGTGTCCTTTGACAAAGCACTTCAGCTACATTGCTTCAGTCCACCCAGCTGTATCAATGGGTACCAGCAAACATCTGGGGACTAACCTGCAATGGACTAGTGTCCCTTCCAGGGGAGGACAACTCTCATCCGCTTCACACTACAGAAACTGGGGATAAGCTCCAGCCCTATGAGCCCCAGTGGCTCGGAAAGGATTTAGTAGTAGTAGACAGTACATACACTTATAAATTTCAAAGAAACAAAATAAATTATAACATGCTTGGTTTATACAGTAGTTTAGGTGATTTATTGCTGGTTAAATACACTCCATGATACACATTGATGTTACAGTGGCCCTATTTATTGTTTTAAAGTACTAATTCCCAAAATTTACAGCATTCATTTTAAAAGAAGCCCCCTCTTTTCTTTGCAAATAGTTAGGCAGACGGAGCACCAAAGTGGCAAAAAATTATTTACAAAGCGATTTTTGTTGGAAACTGTTGATATCGACCTTGAACACCAAAAAAAAGTTGGATGGATTTCGGCCATGGGAAAAATTTTTTTTGACCTTTTACCTAAAAAGGGTAATTCTATATATAGTAACAATGTGGTGGGGGGGGGGGGGGGGGGGAGTAGAATAGATAGCCATATCTTATCCTAAACCCGTAATACATGCATTTTTAAGTATAAAATATCATTGTTCAGTACCACTACATTTTTTTTTTTATCAAGGGTTACGCAAACACATCATTAATGATGTCAGAAACGGTCAAAGGTCATTGCAACAAATTGGCCCATACCTTAAAAAAGCAGTGGATTATGTACATTCCTTTTGAAGTTCCTGCTTTTTTCTCTAAACAAAGTGTTTTATGGCTCATTAAATTTTAAATTTCAAAATGGCGTCCAAAGATGGCCGACATACATTTTGCATAGCTATTATTCAGTAGGCCTAACAAGTGGCACTTACTTAGTATTTGCAGTGGAAATTTCTTATTTTCTGGGTCATATTATACCATGCAATAAAAAAAATGTAAATCGAGTTTCAGGAATATATAAACAAATATTGAATTTAAAATGAAAATAAATATGTAATAATAAGCAAGGCACATGTCATTGCTGAAGAACCACAGATTCTTCTAGACGCTTAAACCACCATTTCATTGTGGTCAAGTTGTGCTGACGTTCACCATGTTTGTGGAAGGTCACGGGCTCGAGTCTCGGTTGAAGTTTGAAAGGCAAATGTGAAAACCCCATAAAACAGCAAACGGCCATATAATGCAAACCAATTTAAAATTAAAATTAAGACGGAACAGTAGAGAAAATCCGATCAGAATGACAAAATAAACTAAGCATCCACTATATATATACTGTCTCTTATACACATCTAGATGTGTATAAGAGACAGCTCAAGGTGAGCAGAATGGTGTTAGTGCATTGGACACGCCCAAACTGAAACACCTAAGGCTTAGGAAAGTGTGGTAGCTAAATTAAGAGCACCACTAACACCTATGCACTATCAAACAAGAACAGATTTACAAGGACATATGTGAGTACTTTTAATGATTTATAAATGTGAAATTACGTTCCTATAAAGTTCCGTATATATTTATATGTTGAATAGTAATTGTGCAAGTAATGGAATATATGTAGGCCCTACGTGGTATGTGGTATTAATACTTACCTTGAATATGATTAAAGTGGAAATGTTGGACATATATTGGTATTGTTTATGAATTTATATTATTGTAGTACTGAATTCCATTTATTCGTAGTATACGGTAAAGCCTCGAATTGAAGCCCAATGGGCATTATCTCGAGAAGAATCCCATCGCATTTAAGCCCTCTTTTTAGTTTGCAAATTTCAAGATAGCATATGATTATTTTCGAGATGGTACAGTACATGGCGCCAGTTTGGCGCAGCGGTTGAG